CCTACTTTTCTCTAGTTTTCTTTGTCGTGCCTCGCAGTGACAAAGTAACTCACTCTGTACGCCCACTACCATCCTTACCCCCACATTGCATCCTCTCCTCTCCATAGTTTCTTAACACCCGACAAAAAAAGACAAAAATTCTCCTTTTTTTGAAAGAACATCTATGCCAAATGCACCCCACAGACACGGTCGGGGCCGGCTCCGCCACAAACACGTTGCTGGCGCCCTTCCCTGAGGTCGCCACCCCCCTGAGCGCCGGCTGCCGTCAGCCCAGGCTTGTCCCAGCAGGGAGCCGGGGGAATGGGAAAACACAGTGTGTTTGAATTGCACACACGACCATTCCCTGCAGCCAGTCATCAACTCCGAGCTAATACAGCTGGAAGGCAGGCCTGGCGTGAGAGCCCCCTCCTCTTTCTCCCAACCTGGCAGGGGCTGCCCGGGCTCAGGCCCTTGTTTGTTGACTCAGGCTCAACCAGGCTCCAGCAAGAAAATGTTATCAGGAGGATTGATTTTATTTTCATGACCCAGCCTCAGCCTGCCTCCATCACGTGTGCTCTAGCGTGAATAAGCATCCTTGGGAATGGTCCGCGAGCCAACTCCAGGACTCTGCCATGAGTGCCCCCTAATGGCCAAAGGAGGCAGTGCAGAGGCAAAGCCAAAGACGGCTGGGATAGAGGTGGGATTTCACTTTTGTGCCAAGATACGCTGTGTGACTTCAGGCAAACGGTCACCATCTCTGGGCCTTGGAAAGGGAAGGAGTTAACCTGGAGAGTTAAGCCTCTTCCAGTCTGGAGAGTCTGGATTTGAGTGTATTGAAGCCACACCTTCGGGCTCCCCGTTCATTCCTGTGCTTGGCCACAGGCATAGCTTGTGCTCTCAACAAGACCGCTTGGACACATCTCCCCAGGGTCTCTGCACCTGGACTGGTGGGAAGGGAGCGAGCAGGGGCGGCAGGCAGGTGCATTTGGTGCTGGTGTGCACCAGGCTTTGATGAGGTGTGCAGCCCTGTGCCACTTCCACAAAACAGGGGAGTGAGCACTCAGCACAGAAAGCGAGACGCTCGCCTGCCCCCAGGAAGGATTGGCAATAACCCCCAGGCAGAACCCCTCCCACACACACTTACGAAGCACCACCGTGCGCCAGGCACTGGGCAGAGAGGGGCAGCAAGTTCTGCACAAAACCAAGGATTGGGAGTTCTCCAAGCAGGCCCTGAGGCCTTAGGAAGGGATAAGACCAGACACTGGGGGAGGCTGGGTTGCCCATCGGGCACCAAAACCTGCGGGTGTTTTCCTGGGAAAGCAGTTCCTGGCCAGAGAAGGGAGGAGCTCACCTCCGTGTGCCCTCAAGCCCCAGGCTCCTGGTCCCCAGGCCTTCGCTGCTCTGTCCAGCAACAGGCGGGAAGTCCCCTGGCTAAGACACACTTTCCCAGGCCATCCAGGATCCCCACAGAGTCAAAGGACAAAGGGCAGCTATGGTACCCAAGCACCAAGGCCAAGGTCAGAATGGCGCTGTGGCACAACTGGTTAAATCCACGGCCTATAGTGTCGGCATCCCATGTGGGTGCCGGTTCGTGTCCCAGCTCCTCCACTTCCAACCCAGCTCCCTGCTAATGTGCCTGGGAAAGCAGAGGAAGATGGCCCAAGTCCCTAGGCCCCTGCACCCACACGGGAGACCCAGAAGAAACTCCTGGCTCCTGGCTTCGGATCGGCACAGCTCCGGCCGTTGCGGCCATCTGGGGAGTGAACCAGCAGATGGAAGACCTCTCTCTCTCTCTGTCTCTACCTCTCTCTCTAACTCTGTCTTTCAAATAAATAAAATAAACCTTTAAAGAAGAAGAAGGTGTGCATAGGGCAGGGCTGCAGCCTGCGTCCACCGCAGCTGTACTTGGCCCAGGGATGCAGCCACATTCCTTGGCCCCAGGAGCTCACAGCTCCAAGCACCATGGGGATGTGGCAAGGCCTCCTTTCCTGGTGCTGTTCTCTCCTGAGAAGCTCCGAGGAGTCAGACCAAAGGGCTTCAGGATCCCGGGCCCAACAACGCAGAAAGCTGCAGCGGTCCACAGGGGCGAGCTGAGGCTCCTTCCAGGGCCCTCCGGTGCTGCCCGGGACAACCCAGCTGTCAGAGGCTTAGGGCAGGACCCCAGTCCTCGGGACTTCGGGTCAGAGGTGGAGGGCCCCAATGGGGTCAGAGCGGAGTCGGCCGGACTTGAAATCCTGAAGGGTCGCAGGGAGCCGACGCTGAGGCTCCAGGGGGACGTCTAGGGGAGAAGGCTGGGCTGCGACCGCCAGCGGGTGTGGGGAGTGTGCGTCTGCCTCGACAGCCCCCTATGTGGGCACCCCCAGATTCTGCGGCACTCCTGGGTCGCCCCGGCTCCTCGCCGCATACCCGACCGCGCACCTGTCTGCCGCGCGCGTCCCCGCGGGCCCGGAGCTCATTGCGCACGCGAGCCGAAGAGCTCCGTGACGGCCCCGCCCCTTCTCGCCTCGCCCCGCCCCGTCTCTCCCCGCCCCGCCCCTTCCGCCCTCCGGGGGCGGGACTAGCGCGGCTTCCGGCCGGGACTCTGACAGGATCCTGAGGGTCCCGCCTCCCACTTGCCGTTTC